AATGCAAATGAATAGAAATTAATTGAAGAACAAATCCAAACATCCAACTGTCTCCAAATTTCAACTATCTCTGCATACCCATGTCCCCTCACATCAGGATGAGAATCTGCACTAGCCTGTGACTTGCTTTGTGAAGTCATGTTGAATGTCACAGTCGCAATGAAATGTGATAGAAGTGATGTTCTAGGATTTCTGAGCACGGTTATTAAAAGGACTAGCATCCTCTCTTTTGCTCTTTAAAAATCCAGCTGTCATGTTATACAAAAATCCAGGTTATTATACTAATTAATGAGTAGAAGCCATGGGGAGAAAGGCCCTGGAGGAAGAAGATGATGGTCATTCCATTCCCATCCAAGGTCCATGTTGTATGTTCCAGCCTCAGCACACTTCTAAAGGGTGCAGCTCCATAAATGACAAATAGATCCTATCCCACAGCACTTACTCAAGAATATAGATTCAGAATACATCTGTGTTTCCTAACTTATCATTTTTGTTGTTGTTCCCTACTGGATCATTCCTATCAGCATATATATGGTTTTATTTCTTCCATCTTTAAAATAAACATTTCTTTGGCCTTAATTCCACCACCAGCTACCATCTCAATTCTTTATTCCTTTTTGCAACAAAAACTCTTTAAATTAATCTCTCCTCCTTGAAATGTTTTATTCACTTGATTTCTTCTTTTGGTTGTTGTAGGACCTTTCTGGTCACTACTTCTCAGACCCTTTTGCTGAGTCATTCTCATTTCCAACTGTTTAATGTTGGTATATCCCAGGACTCAGTCCTTGATCTGTTTAGCTCCTTTACTTGTTCATTTTGTTCGTGATCTCCTCCAAATCTCATACTTTTATTTTTAAGTATTTATTTATTATTTTTTAAATTATAGCTTTAAATATTATCTCTTTAACAAGGGCTTTTAAATTTAAATCTCCAGCATACACTTCCCTTTCAAATTCCAGGCTTGATTTTATAACTGTCTACTTGGTATCTCGGATATTTACAGACATCTAAAACTCATCATTATTCATAAGTAAATTCATGATCTTCCTCTCCAAAACTTCTGCCCTATCACCTTTCTAATCGCAGTTGGTGACAACTCAATTTTTCGTGGAGACTCCTCTCCCCTCATATCCTTATAAATACATACTGAATCCGAACATTTTTCAACATTTTCTCTTATTTCATTCAGGTCTGAGCCACTGCCATATCCTAAGAATTCCTAACAACTAGTCCTGTTATACTTCTTTCCTCCTACAGTCTATTCATACACAGGAGTCAAGAATGATAAAGCCATACCCCTGCTCATTATCCTCTAATGGCTCTCCATTCCACTGAATGTAAAAGATATCGTTCATAAAAGGTTCTACAAGGCCCTACATGATCTGACCTTTCCCTACCCTTACATTCTCTGAATATTCTTGTTTCCTCAATTTTCTTTATCCATAGTGGTTTCCTATCTATTTGTCAAAATACTAGGCCTCTGAGAGAGAGTGAGAGAGACAGATTTGTTGTTCCACTTATTTTTGCATTCATTGGTTGATTTTTGTATGTGCCCTGACCAGGGATGTAACCCACAAACCTTGGCATATCAGGACAATGCTCTAACCAACTGAACTACCAATTCAGGGTTCCATAAAATTTCTTCTATTACCTACATAAGGAACAATTTCTGTTGCGTGCAGCCCCAAATTCTCCTTACAACTGAACTAGTTTCAGAGGTTCTCATAAGAGTCCACATTACTTCAAATGTCCAAAAACAAAATTAGGCTTTTGTCAAAATTTATGCCTGACCCTGAACAATAATAAACCAAGAATGCTACTATCATGAAAGGAGGAATCTGAGAGGTCATGGTCTCAAAACAGACAGTACACTGACTTCATATCTGGACTTGTATACCCTATAGATTCTTAGATACCTGTTCTCTAGTGTGTCAAACATAAAATAAACTAGCCAGAGGCAGGGCAAAATCAAATCAAATCATTCCCAGATACTGAAAGAATTAATTGCTAGTACACCTGCCTTACAAAAAATAGTAAAGAAAGTCTTCTAGGCTGAAAGGAAGTGATACCAGACTTAAATCCATAAGAAGAAATTAATAACAGTAAAATGAAAAATCTGTGTACTAATATAAAAGACTCTAAAAATGTATTTTTTCACGTGTAGTTTCTCATCAAAAAGAAATTAAATTCAAAATTGGTGAGTTTAACCTGGCTGGTGTGGCTCAGTGGTTGAGCGTCGACCCATGTACCAAGAGATCACCAGTTTGATTCCAGGTCAGGGCACATGCCCAGGTTGTGGGCCCAGTCCCCAGTGACGAGGCATGTAAGAGGCAACCAATCAATGTTCTCTCTCATTGCTGTTTTTATCTCTCTCTTCCTCTCTCTAAAATCAATAAAGAAAAATATTTTTAAAAATTGGTGAGTTTAGTTCATTACATTTATTGAAATTATTTACATCTCTTGTTTCTATAATCTTACTTTGTGCGATTTGTCCTGCCTTCCTTTTGCTTCTACTACTTTGTTCTCTTTTTTGGCAGGATAGGAGGATTAAGATTTTTTTTACTAGAAATTATACACTCTATTCTTTTAGTAGTTACCCTTGAGATTTTATCATGTGTACATAATAAAGTCTAAACTAGGACACTATCTTAGCTTTCTGAATTAGAGAAAAGGCTAAGATACTCAAAGATACAGTGGCTCAATGAAAAGTTTCTTTCTTTTTCACATAATAGTACTGAAGTGAGCAGTCCATATTAATATGATGGTTCTGTTCCATGAGATCACTCAGGGCCTTAGCTTGCCTCCATGTCATTGTATTGCAATCTGCTAGTATGTTGTCCTCATCTGTATAGTTAAAGGCAGATTGCTGCCACATTTCCATTCCATAGGAAAGGGAAAGAGAAATCCAGTGCAAGTAATTTTCTTTTAAACCAAGGAGGCAGAAGCTGCACATAGCACTTCTGTCCAATATCAAGAATTTAGTAACATAACAACATATTGTTGCAACTGTGGCTGGGAAATATAGTCTCTTGCTGGTGAGACCAAGTGCCTAGAAAGAAGGGAAAATAGATTTTTGGGGGGGACACAAAAGTCTGGCCATCAAAATACTTATATCTACTTTCTTCTCATACATAGAAAAGACTTAATGTGCCTCTTTGGAACATAATTCAAAATCCCATCTAGTCCAAGGTCCAACTTCTTCCCATTCATTTCAAATGACTGTTTATAATCCTGGGAGCAATATATTAATAGTCAAGTTATATAAACCTAAATCCTAACATACAGTGATGGAAGACCTTTTAGACAAAGGAAGGAAAAATAAAAGATAAAGGAATAATGGAAAATACAGAGTAGTCACTGGCCCACAGATAGGAATAAAATCATACTGCACAGGAATTATAAAGAACCCTTTGGCCTAGTATTAAAAGAGGGTTCCTTGTTTACACACTGGTTCTGATATCTTAGAAAAATTCCTTTATCATCTACTGTCTCTACCTTTGCCTTCTAGAGGTTCTTCACTGTTCATTATCTTCTGTGGCCATATCTGATTTTGGAGAGAATGTAGTTATGGTAGAGTGAAAATGGGGGAGTGCACTGTTTTAATAGCCCACTTCTTTGCTATAGTTGGTTTGGGAGCCTGAGGGTTGCTTTAAGGATCAAACAATCAAAGCCTTTTACAAGATCTTACTTATAGACTCATGGGCAGTATAATTCTCAAAACACCTTAGTAAACTTGGATTCTATTTATTTCCTATTTTTTTTAAATGTCAGTTACCAATATTTTTGTTTTGTTCTGTTTTTTGCTTTACTGAACATCGTTTTTAAGTCAGACTTTTCCCTGACTTCTTGGCTCCCTCTCTCCCTCTTTCTCCTTTTAATGACAGCAACTTTGAGGCTATATGAACAATAGGTTTAAGTTGGAAGGCAACATCCCTAATTTGATATGTCAAAGGACTGCCTTTCTTTCTTTGAGGAAGCTTTAGGGAAAGTTTTTGAGTCAGTTTTGTTTCATGCTATTTTTTTTTTTATAATACATTACTAAAGCAATAGGGAATATGTGTTGGCTGCTTGCTGCTTTTAGCAAGGTATTATAAAAAAAAGATGAGCTAAGGCAAGAATATGCCAATTTGCAAGCAGAGAAGGAAGAGGATAGAGACTCCAGAAATTTGAGCCTTACAGAATAGAAAAGCCAACTACTTCTGTACCCCAAACAACGTAAGATCTACTGCCTCACTGCTAAACCCTATAGTTTATTAAGGCAACTGCCCATATTTTAGGTTTCCGTGATTGTTGCACACCAGTTCCAGGGGCTTATTTAGTTAAGGTTAAACTACTCTAAGAAAGACATCTAAAAATACAAAGCATTAATGCAAATTTGTATCTCATGTAATAGTCTCAAAATATAGTCAGATAAGCAGTATGGCTCTGCTCTACTTAGTCATTCAGGGACCCAGGTAATCTGTTTTAGTGCTACACCATCTCTTACAGTCTGAATTTGTATGATCAATGCTGTCTTCATATTGTCCATGTTTCAAACATCAGAAAGAAGGATGAGAAGTCCAGGACAAGCAATTTCTTTTTAAGCAAATAAGGTGACAGGTATACACATGACTCTAATTCACATTATATTGGTGATAATGTGACACATGACCACACCCAGTTGTATGGGTGAAGTGTGGTCTCTGACTCAATGGCCATTTGTCCAAGCAGGAGGGGGAGATCAGATTTTAGGCAGGACACCATAACTGTAAGTCCCTGCCCCCCAAATACTAAGATCTTAAAATACTTTAACTATGGTAAGCCATCTTTTAATTTATAGGCTTTTGCTCAGAATTTTATTTTTATCTTTTGAACACTCCCTCCCAATAAATAATATTGTTATTTTTACCCAGATGTTTATGTAGTTTTACTTGCATGTTTACCAATTTGTATACACCTTTTTTGGTATTGTATTAACTTTCTTTTGCTGCACAAGCTTAGCAGCTTAAAACAACACTCACTCATTAGCAGGCAGTTCTGTAGGTCAGAAGTCTTGCGAGGCATGGAGGGGTTTTCTTCAAAGAATATCACAAGGCCAATATCATGCTGTCGGCTACACTTTCTTATCAGGAGGCTTTAGGGGGAGAATCCTCTTCTTTCTAAGCAGAATTCATTTTGTTGGCAGAATTCAGTTCCTTGGGGTTGTACAACTGAGGTGGTCCCCCTTTCCTTGTTGACCATCATCCACGGGCCACTCCCAGCTCCTTTCCACTTGGCCCCATAGGCAGTCCACAGCATGGATATATGCTTTTGAGGCTGTGGAGTGTCTCTCCAACTTTCTCTTCTGTAACCAGTTGAAAAAATATATATTTATATACATAACATATATATGTTAGTTTCTTAACTGCTCTTTGAATCAGTCATAACATCTTACTGAGTCAAATACAATCTTTGATACTTGTTCATTTATATTTGTATGAATTGTATTTTTTAACCTTTTTGAAAGCTACACTTTAATAGTTAGTTTAACTATTAAATAGTTTAACTATTTTTTAATAGTTTATTTTTTTTTTTTATTTTTTTTTTTATCCTCACCCGAGGACACTTTTTCATTCTTTGTTCAGATAGAGCAGGAGGGAGAGAGAGAGAGAAACATCGATGTGAAAGGGACACATCGAGTGGCTGCCACCCGCACAACCAACCAGGGCCGGGGACAAACTGCAACCGAGGTACATGCCCTTAGCGGGAACCGAACCCGGGTCTCTCAGGACCGCAGGCCGACGCTCTAACCGCTGAGCCAAACCGGCCAGGGCTATTTTTTAATAGTTTAACTATTAAAAAAGTTAGCTTGCCACAAATTGTCCTATTGCTAGTCATCAAGATCCATAGATACACAAGGGTCTGTAGTCAGCTTTTTGGTGGCTCATCATTAAATATAAACAATAAATTTATATTTGGGAAAAGCTTTCAATATGAAAATATAGAGAAAGAAAGAGAGAGAGAGAGAGAGAGAGAGAGAGAAAGAAAGAAAGAAAGAAAGAAAGAAAGAAAGAAAGAAAGAAAGAAAGAAAGAAAGAAAGAAAGAAAGAAAAAGAGAATGTTAGGAGCAGAAGAAAACTTTTAAAAAATATTTAAATCCTTAGAAAAACTTCCAGTTCTGGACAAGATGAAGTAAGCATAATCAAACCAATTCTTTCTCAAGATTACAGCAAACAACCCATGGACAAAATTATCAGGAGACTGTGAAAGGTAGAGAAAAGAAGGCAACTGGCTAGGGACCATTGAACTTGAGAAATGTCCTGTGTGAGTTTTGTTTTTCTTGTTTGTTTGCCTCCTATATGTGCAATTGGCACAGAACCTCTAAATAAATAAGTAAATAAGCAAGCCCCAGTGAAATCCACTTTCTCCAGCCAAAGGACTAGCAAGGGGGTAGCTCTGCAGAACAGAACTCTTAACTGTACTCTCCCACCACCAGGCAAACATCCATAAAGAAGTAGTGCCTCTCTCCCTCCACACCAGTCACTGTGTGGATCAAGGTCTGTCAACTATTCCTATCCTGCACTAAGGAGTAAAGCAAAGAGCAGCTGCCACTCCCTCCCAAACTAAAGAGTGAGAGGAGGATTAGAAAGAGCAGAAAGCTAAAGAAAGGAATTCCTTAAATTTGTTTATGAAGTCCTGGGCATACCCTCAAGTGGCTCTGGTATAAGACCAATGAGAATCAACACAGTAAAGGTTCTGAGAATTAAACTATGGTATAGAACATTTCCAGGTTTCAAATTAACTTTTGGGTAGCACACAAGTGAGGTAGGCCAGATTTACACTGCAATTGCCTTGGAAATTAAATTGACAAGCCATAACCAACAAACATGGGTCAGGATGCATATTCTGAACCTAAAAAGCATGACTGGCTGCTAGAAGAGAAGATTTAAATAGAAAGTATATTCTCATAACATAATACTCAAAATATACACAATACTCATAACCATCCAAAGTTATGTATCATATCTGGAACCATGAAAATCTAAACTTGAACAAAAAAAGACAATCAACAGACACCATGATCGAGATAATATAGCTCTTGGAATTATCAAACAATGATTTTAAAAGCTAGCATACAAATGCTCCAAGAAACAATTATAAACATTCTTGAGACAAATGGGAAAACTAAATATCTCAGGGAAAAAAAGAGAAAGGTATAAAGAAGCAGATAAAAATTTTAGAACCAAAAAATACAATAACTAAAATAAATACTCCATTAGATGGGCTCAACAAGAGAATGGAGATGACAGAAGAAAAAAAAAATCAGTGAACTTGAAGATAAATCGATAGAAAACTATCAAATGTGAACAAGAGAGAAAAAAGATTTTAAAACAAGCAATAAATAAATAAGACCTAACACCCAAGACACTGAATTTTCAGAAGAGAAAAAAGAATGCTGTGGTGAAAAAAAAATTTTGAATAAGGTTGTAAACTTCCTAAATTTAATGAAAGACATAAACCTACAGATTCCAAAATCTTGGTGAACCCCCAAATAGGATAAACACAAAGAAATTGATGCCTAGACATTATAATCAAATTTCTGAAAAACTGAAAACAAAGAAAAACTGTTGAAAGAAGCCTTAGAGAAACAACACAGTGCCTGAATGGAAACAATGAAAATAAATTTCTTATAGTAAATTATAGAGGCCAGAAGGAAGTGGCACATAGGGGAAAAGCTTCATGACATTGATCTTGGCAAGTATTTCTGGGATAAGACCCAAAAGCACAGGCAACAAAGGCAAAAATAAATAAGCAGGGTTACATTAAACTAAAAAGTTCCTTCACAACAAAGTAAACAATCAATGCAGTGAAAAGGCAACCAATGTAATGGAAGAAAATATTTGCAAACGATATATCTGATAAGAGGTTCATCTCTAAAATATATGAGGAACTCCTACAATTCAATAGCAAAAAACTAATAAATCAATTAAAAAGTGGGTTAAGGACTTCAAAAGACATTTCTCCAAAGAATTCATACAAAAGACTAATATATATAAGAAAAGATGCTCCACATACTATTGATCAGGGAAATGAAAAAAAACCACAATGAGATCACCTCATGACTATTAGAATGACTATTATAAAAAATAAATAAATAAATAATTCTTGGTGAGTAGAGAAATTGGAATCCTTTTGTACTTTTGATGGGAATATAAAATGGTGCAGCTGCTATGGAGAACAGTATGGAAGTTCCTCAAATACAAACAAAACAAAACCAAAAAAACCTTTCCATATGATCCAGCAATCCTATTTCTGGGTATTTATCGAAAATAATTGAAATTAGGGTCTCAAAGAGATACCTGGACTCCCATATTCTTTGAACATTGTTCACTATAGCCAGGATGTGAAAACTACTAAATTGGCCACAGACAAGTAGATAAAGAAAATTTGTTATATATACATAATGAAATGTTTTTTAGCTGTAAAACAGAACAAAATCCTGTGATATGCTGTAATGTGGATGGAATTTGAGATTATGTTAAGTGAAATAAGCCAGTCACAGAAAGACAAATACTGTATGATTCCACTTACATGAGGTCTGTAAAGTAGACAAATTAAAGCACAAAGTAGAATAGTGGTTGCCAGGGGCTGGGAGGAGGGGAAAATGGGGAGTTGCTGTTCAATGGGTATAAAGTTTCAGTCATGCAAGATGAAAACGTTCTAGAGATCTGCTGTACAACATTGTGTTTATAGTAAATAATACTGTACTCTATACTTAAAATTTTGTTAAGAGGGTAGATGTCATATCATGTGCGTGCGCGCGCGCACACACACACACACACACACACACATATCCACAATAAAAATTTTAAAAAAGTGGTGCATTTTTAAAATGCTAAAGGAAAAAAAACTGTCATCCAGAATTTTATACCAAGTGAAACGTACAAAAGCAATTGAACAGAAAAAGAACAGTATTAGAACAATACTTGGATGCCGAAGAGGCATATCAAATCTTTTTTAGACAAACATCATTTTCTTTTTTTTTTATCCTCACCCGAGGACATTTTTGGTTCAGATAGAGTGGGAGGGAGAGAGAGAGAGAGAGAGAAACATTGATGTGAAGGGGACACATCGAGTGGTCTCCTCCCACATGACCCAGCCAGGGCCAGGGACAAACTGCAACCGAGGTACGTGCCCTTAGCGGGAACTGAACCTGGGACCCTTTAGTCCGCAGGCCGATGCTCTAACCGCTGAGCCAAATTGGCCAGGGCGACAAACATCATTTTCAATAACAGCATTCCATATTTGAAATTGTAAGCTCCATTAGGGCGAGGACAGCAGTCTATCTTATTTACCATTATATATATATTCAGCATCTAGCACAATGAAGGTACAACAAATATTTGCTATTTAAATCAATAAATCTGTATTAGCATGAGTTATTTTTAATCTAGTCTGCAGTACAAGTTAATCATTAGCCTGTAATGATTGATATATTTTTTAAAAAGCATCTCTGTAATCCTATTATACTTTTATAAAAAGTAGTAAATATCAAGGGAGCAGCCACAAAGAGGTGGTGCCAAGGACCATACTATCCTGACTTCAATACCCTCTGGCTAGTCACATGGTAGGTAGGTCTCACTAAAGAAAAAGAAAACTGTGCCTGGCCAGTGTGGCTCACTGGCTGGGCGTCGACCCATGCACCAAAAGGTCGCCAGTTCGAGACTCGGTTGGGGCACATGCCCAGGTTGTGGGCCAGGTCCCCAGTGGGGGGTATGCAGGAGGCGGCCATTCGATGTTCTCATTCATCGATGTTTCCTTCCTCTCTCTCTAAAATCAATTTTTAAAAAATGTTAAAAAGAAAAAGAAAACTGTCTATTATCAGTGTATTTCTTTTTAAAAACAGTGTGAGTCTCTGCCAGAAGCTAACAAGACTTAATGAAATGTCCAGGAATCTGACCAATTATGCTAATTTATCCTCTTTTCCAGAAAAAGCAGAAAAGAATCTTCTCTTGGAGGGTTAGAATCACTCTTTTGCTTTACCTACCCTAAGAGTAGATCACAGTAATCACTGGATTAACAGATTAGAAATAACAATGTGTGTGATGGCAGGGGTAAAGAAGCCCTTATAGGCTTTTCTCCTTTTCAGATCATTTCACCTCTTTGCTCTTCCAGAGTTTATTTATTTTAGGGTGGCAGAGGGGCTGCTTAATCCATATATTCCACTCTAGTATATGAGAACTCTACCTCTATATTTGGTTTCAGATACAAGATAATCTGATAATAAAATGGATTTGGATTTTCCATTTGAAGTTGTCTCATATCTATCTCCCTCAGGAACCTTATGAGGATGGGTAATTCAGCCAAGGCAAGATTTAGGGAGTTGGATTTCTTGAGCTAACACCTTACAGCAGGTGTTCAATAAATAACTATAATAATCAAACATATGGTATGTGCCCCAAACAGAAATTAATATAAGATCAGTTTGGAACTGGGTTCTGCCAAGGCAAGTTGAACTCTGACTGCATAAACATACTTTCATTCATTTTTCCCCCCATTCTTTTCAATGTCTATAGGCAGCAGTGGCTCAGTTGTTTTTTCCTGGTGGTGGTGGGGGATCTACACAAACGTTACATTAAAATTTTTTTCATTTTTTGAAGAAACCATTGAACATAAGTAATGACACCACAAATATTTCTCGGTATATATTTTTTCATTTCAAATGAATATAACATTATTTACTCCCTCCAATAAAAATTGTAAATGGATTTTTAAGCTAACAAATCATGAAATATTTTAGTTGAGTTACAAGTGAACCAAATGGTCATATTTATTTTAACACCTGGAAAAAGTCAGGATATGCACAGCTGGCTGTTAGCTTGTCACACATTCCTAAGTTTACAATTACTACTAGTGTTCTCAAAGTTCACTGACAAACAGTTACAGGTGGCCAAGATGTTTGTGCTTAGAAAGAGTTTACTCAGCAAAATCCAATAATGTATCAATAATAGCATTTACTTTTGAAAATATCAGTATTTAAAAATGGAAATATTTAATTATTTTCTTTGAATTATTTAAAGCATGCTAAGACTGCTAATGAAAAATTTACTTATATCACTCTAATTTTCAAAAAGATTCAGCAAATTAAAAAACATTTATTTCAAAGAAAGAGTTGATCTATTAAATAAAGTCTAATAATTTAGAAAATTTCTTATGGTGAAAGTAGCCATAGCCTTATATAATAAACTCATTCTCTCTGTACTGCAGGCCGACACTCCAACCACTGAGCCAAACCGGCCAGGGCTAAACTCATTCTCTAGAACATTATTTCTAGAAGTAATGCAACTAGTATCCCAAAGGAAGCAAAAACATATCCTTTTTTAAAAGAATCATTTTCAGGTTTTTAGATGGTATAAAGAGCTAAATTTCTATTTTAAATGTAAATATTTTCTATAATTATTTAGAATTTTAAAATTAATATTGATGAGAAATAATATTTACAAAAAATATAACATGTAAATAATAACAAAAATATCTACATACCTCCACCCAGTTTAAGAAAATAATGTGCCCTGGCCGGTTTGGCTCAGTGGTTAGAGCGTCCGCCTGCGGTCCGGAGAGACCCGGGTTCGGTTCCCGCTAAGGGCATGTACCTTGGTTGCAGTTTGTCCCCGGCCCTGGTTGGTCGTGCGGGTGGCAGCCACTTGATGTGTCCCTTTCACATCGATGTTTCCCTCTCTCTCTCTTCCTCTCTCTCCCTCCCACTCTGTCTGTACAAAAAATGGAAAAATGTCCTCGAATGAGGATAAAAAAAAAAAAAAAGAAAATAATGTTATCATTACCCATGCGTGCCCCTTCCTGAACTAATTTCCTTCCCTTCTATCCCTCAGAGGTAATCATTTTCCCGAATTTTGTGTATTTAATTTTCTTGCTTTTCTTAGGGTGTACCAAATAAGGTTTTATTCCTAATCAATTTATTGTTTACTTTTGAACATTCTGAACTTTATATAAATTAAACAATACTATAAGTGTCTTTCGACTTTTAGTTTGTTCAACTTTGTATTCCTAAGATTCATACAAATTATTGCATGCAGCTGTAATTCATGCATTTTCATTGCAGCATTACACTATATAAAAGTAACACAATATATTTATCAATTCTATTATTGATGGACATTAAGGCTTGTTTCCAGTTTTTCCCATTACCTAGTTTACTAACAATTATTTTGCACAACTCTCTTGTGGCACATACGTAAGAATTTCTAATAGGGATATTATATATATATGTATATATATCTCAAAAATTATATGTAATATATAAATGACTATACTATTTATGTCAAATTGTTTTCTAATGTGCTTTTTATCAATTTATACCTTCATTAGCAGTATTTCCATTTGCTCCATATCCTTGTCAATACTTGATGTTATCAGACTTTACATTTAAGCCAAGCTGGTAGGTTTACAGCAGTATCTAGTTGTGGTTTTAATTTTCACTCCTCCAATTAACAATGAGGTTGAGTAACTTTTTGTTTATCAGTCATACTGATAAACTCTTGTGAAGTGCTTGTTCAAGTCTCTAGTCCATTTTCCTATGGAGTTGCTTATCTTTTTCTTAGCTGAATAGGGAATAGTTCTTTATATATTCCATCTATTATATGGGGCAAATATCTTTTCCCATGGCTTGTCTTTTACTCTTTTTATGTCTTTTAATGAACAGTTCCTAATTTTAATGTAGTACTATTTAACCATCTTTTTTTTTTGTTCAAAAGTATTTTTCATACTATTATCAAATTTGAAAAATATTCTTAATACAAAAGCTATAATACTGCACTAAAGAAATGGGGGAAATGTCAGTTCTATCATATGATAATATATATATATATTTTTTTACAAAATAACAAGTTCATATAAAAAATTGTGGCTCAAATGATTGAATGATTATTCTTCTCTATTCTTGGTGCAGCTAACTTACTAACAAATTAATTTGTTGGCTGATAAATCTGGAGCTACAAAATGCACAAATTTCTGAAAAGTTTTATATAACTTATCATTTAAGAATAAAACACAAGTGAAGATTGATTGCAAAGGCACATTTGCAACATTTGAATGAATAATGGAGCTGATGTCATTTTTTTTATCAACAGGAATATATATGCATAAACAAAGAAAATATCTGTGTAATGGGAGTGAGGTTGGGCGAAAAGAGGAATTTTTTTACTTTTCATATCTTAACATCATACCACAGCATGGATACCTTTATAATGAAAACCATGTCGGATCATCTTCAAGCTGAATTGAAAATTATTGTAAAAATGTTAAAATATTGCACAATGAGATATAACCTCACACATGCCAGAATAGCTACCATAAATAAGTCAACAAACAAGTACTAATGAGGATGTGGAGAAAAGGCAACCCTAGTGCACTGTTAGTGGGAATGCAGACTGCTGCAGTCACTGTGGAAAACAGTATGGAGTTTCCTCAAAACAATTAAAAATAGAACTGCTTTTTAAAAAAAATCTCATTCTATCTATCTATCTATCTATCTATCTATCTATCTATCTATCTATCTATCTATCTATCTATCTATTTTTTGCTATGTGCCCCTAGAGGGAACCAAACCCAGGACTCTGATCCGCAGGCTGACGCTCCAACTGCTGAGCCAAACCGGCCAGGGCTGGAACTGCTTTTGACTCAGCAATTCCACTTCTGAGAAAATATCCTAGGAATCCTGAAACACCAATCAGAAAGAATATATGCACCCCTATGTTCATAGCAGTGTTATTTACAATAGCCAAGATCTGGAAACAGCCCAAGTGATCATCAGTAGATGAGTAGATTAAAAAAAAAAACCACTGGTATATTTACACAATGGAATACTATGTGCCCATTTAAAAAAAAGGAACTCTTGCCCTGGCCAGTTTGGCTCAGCAGTTGGAGCATCGGCCTGGAGTCCAGAGAGGCCCGGGTTCAGTTCCCGCTAAGGGCACGTACCTCGATTGCAATTTGTCCCTGGCCCTGGTTGGGTCATGCGGGTGGCAACCACTCGATGTGTCCCTTTCACATTGATGTTTCTCTCTTTCTCCCTCCCACTCTAACTGAACAAAAAAATGGAAAAATGTCCTCGGGTGAGGATAAAAAAAAAAAAGGAACTCTTACCTTTTGCAACATCATGGGTGGACCTGGAGATTATTGTGCTAAGTGAAATAAGCCAGTCAGAGAAAGACAAATACCATATGATATCACTTATATGTGGAATCTAATGAACAAAATAAAACCAGAGGCATGGATACATGAAACAGACTGACAGCTGAAATAAGGTAAAGAGATAAGCTACCCATAGACACAGACAACAGTGTGGGATGGCCAGAGGGAAGGGGGTTAGGGGCTGGGTGGAGATGGGCAAAACGGGGTGGGGAGTGGGGGAGGAATAGAGTCATTTGTAATAGTGTCAACAATAAAAATAAAGTTTAAAAAAACCTGAAATATTCCAAATGGATTATTCTGAGATATGCCAACAGAGGTCTGAAAAAAAAAATTAATTGAACTAAATTAGTCACTGGTAAAAATGATGCAAAAGTGTGTTACTTGTAAGAGTTGTTTTAAAAAATATTTAATATTCAAACACAATGTGATTTAATGTTTTATATTTATATGGTTTCTCATATAAACATATCAACAAACCAGAAGAGAAATTTGGTCAAACCATGTGTACTGATGATTTGCAAAATAAATTACCATAGATTTAAGTAACTAGAGTGTGTGCATATAAAAATTTATCATATTGTTACTTAGAATCAACGATATAAGAATGTGAATGCATCAAGTAATTTTTTTACGAGAAAATAAAATGTGAGGAAGTAGGAGTGTCTCTTGAAGTTTACACTAAGAGGATAAGGAAAAAAGGCCTTGCAGAATGGTTTTTTTGGCTTCTAGAAATACCGGACTTGGACTAAATCTCTTTTCCTTCCTTTCTCTTGCCCTCCCTCTAACCTTGACCCTCAACTTTGATGTTTGTTTACCTACTGCATCTTCACCTAATCTCTCTGGCTCAATATATTGCCATCTTTTACAACCATCACCTTGAATTTTCTTCTAACCCTATGACTGCTTTCATTTTGGCAATGCAATTGTGGGATTCATTCATTCATTCAACATCACAAACAATGAACAAACAAAAGAGGTAGCTTAGTGGTCAAGACCTGGGGCCTGAAATCAGATGGCTTGTCTGTATCTTGGTTCTGACAATTATTTATTAGCCATTAGACCTTGGAAAAGTCACTTAACTTCTGTGTATCCATTTCCTCATCTGTAAAAAGAGGGTACTAATAATACCTATCTCATAGGTTGTTGTGAGGAATGAACACATCAATATCTATAAAAGTCTTATAACAGTGCCTAACGTAGTAAAAGATCATATAAATTTCAGTTGCTTTCATCATTGTTGTTATTTGAGCATCTATGTGCCAAGCATTCTACTACATATTTAGATTATGTTGGTGAACTAGATCAACAAGGCCTTTGGAAAAGTTCTTTGGAAAAGTTCTTTTAGATGCAAACTACCCCCAATTTGTCTCTCAGATTCTTTCCTTTTTAAATATGTTTTGTACTGGTTTTATTTGTTTTTTGTTTTTTTCCCTCATCCGAGGACATTTTTCCATTTTTTGTACAATTGAAAGTGGGAGGGAGAGAGAAGAAGAGAAAGAGAGAGAGGGAAACATCGATGTGAAAGGGACACATCGAGTGGCTGCCACCCGCACGACCAACCAGGGCCAGGGACAAACTGCAACCGAGGTACGTGCCCTTAGCGGGAACCGAACCCGGGTCTCTCCGGACCGCAGGTGGACGCTCTAACCGCTGAGCCAAACCAGCCAGGGCTGTTTTGTACTGGTTTTAGAGAGAGGAAGAAGAAAAGAGAGAGAAAGAGAGACATTGATTGGCTGCCTCCTGCACACCCCCTACTGGCGATGGAGCCTGCAACTTGGGCATCAAACCAGTGACCTTTTGGTACATGGGACTATGTTCAACCAACTGAACCACACTGGTTAGGTCTCTTTCTTAGATCCTTAAGTGGACCCTGGACAAAAATTCTAAGGATGCTATCATGTTTAAGAGTAGGTACCAAAAATATTAAATTTAAACCATTAAGAAAAGATACAATTTCCAGGACTGGCACAGATAATAAAACCCACATGACCACCTGTTTCTCATTTTTGCTGTTATTACCACATTCTTGTTCTCTGTTTTGACATTAATTGTATTATATATATATATATATATTTTTTTTTTTTTAATTGATTTTTGAGAGAGAGGAAAGGAGAAGAGATAGAAACATCAATGTGAGAAACATCGACTAGCTGCCTCCTGCATGCCCCCTCCCGGGGATCAAGCCCTCAACCTGGGCATGTGTTCTGACCTGGAATCAACCCAGGACCTCTCAGTTCATGGGGCAATGTTCAATCCATTGGGCCACATTGGCTAGGCTGACATTAATTGTAGTTCACACTTTCCCCCTTTCCATCACTACAGCCTACAATTTTCAAATCCTCAACTGGTATAACTATTTCACTTATTGATAGCGAAGACTGATGATTACTATAGTTATATAATAGTTAAATAGCTAAACATAAAAAGGAAATATCCTCTGACTATATATTCAATAAATTATACAATGTAACTGCCCCCTAACTCCCCAAAAGAGCAAAAGTTCATAAAAAAGATACATAGCTGTATCCTAAGTATGGTGGAATTATTCTGCTTCAAAATGACCATAAATGGGAAGTTTTTAGATATTAAAAGTTGCTCTTTATACTCTTTGTTAACTTTCATTTATTTATTTATCTTCATTTATAAATATTGTCCTAAAGGAAAAGAATGAATAAAACCTTAAAAAAGCTTGTCTTAGAATTCCAAAATAGGATCTTCATAGTATGACCTCCGCCCACCTCTATCCCCTGCTAAGATCTAGGTACTCACTGAAGGAGAAAAACGGTTTTGTTTCAATTCCAAAAGGGCCTGGTTTGGAAGATCAGAAGCTCATCTCTGAGATTATATCACTAACCAACTTAGGGCAAGGGAAGAAATAGGGGCTACCCTTAGCCCCTTTCTTGCTTTCAGCAGATGCTCTACTACAGAGTAAGATAAGATAATTCTCTAACCTTAGACACTCCCTAACTCATAGGCCTTAGCAGAGTATTTGGGGAAGTATTTCAGGACAGTGAAATGTTGGTAACAGTCAGTTAACCTACAGATATACTTCCCTAACCTATAAATTCAGCTTTCAATTAACAAAAATAAAAATAAAGAGTTAAATGTAAAAATAAAACTATAAAAGAGCTAGCAAAAATATAAACATATACATAATCTTAGGATGAAAAGCCCTTTCTAAGTCTAACACTGCAAGTGTACCAAAAAGAAAAAAAAATTGGTACGTTTCACTGAAGGCTTGAGTGTAGGGCTGGAAAGTTTGCTTCTAAGATGGCTTACTCACTAGGTTCTTGGAAGAAGACCTCAGTTCTTTGCTGGTTTTGGCAATAGACCTTAGTTCCTAACCATCTATACATCTATATAGGGCTACTTGAGTGTCCCAAACAAAATGTCACAGGCTTTCTTCAAGTTCGATGAGTTTTGTAAAACATACACATATATAACCACTACCACAGTCATGATACAGAACATTTCTATTATCCAAAGAATTGCATCAGGTACCTCTCTTCACTTCTGACCTCAGTATTGTTTATTGTGTTTGTTTTTTTAGCACTGTTCATGAAATTGTTGAAGCCATATATACAGTCACAAAAACATCAGTATACTGGGTTACCAATTAAACTTATTTTTTCTGTACAGCCCATATTTGAATAATTCTGCATCACAGGATGAAGGACTTCAATATGGCTGGAGTGTAAGGAGAGTCAAGATGGAAGATGAATCCTCCCAGCAAAGCTGCTCTAATGTAAGCTGCTTAGAAATGGTATCATTCTCTGGTTTTTAAATGGCTTTAAAATAGTATTATTCTCCAGTTTTTAACTTTTCTTCATCAGTTTCTTGACCTGGAGTTTCTGCTCCTATCAAGATGCTGTTGTAATTTGGCTTTCTCATGCTGCAAATACATCAATTAGCTAGAGAGCTAGAGTGAAGAACTCTTTTTCCTTCTCATAACTTACAAGGGTTTCTTTCTCCTTCTGCAAAGGAGAAACTTGGCTGTATGTTACCATTAATGAGTTTGTATTTTCTAGAACTTCATATACATAAATGGAACCACATAGTATGTAGCTTTAGTGTAAAGGTCTCTTTCATATGACATGTTTTTGAGATTCATTCCTGTTATATCAGTAGGCCATTCCTTTTTATTGCTGAATAGAGTTTCAGTATATAGCTATATTTCAAAAGTACTTGATTATCATTATACTTTGAATTTCATCAATAAAATATTCATGGATATTTGTTTTTTTGTCTTTTTCTCTTGCTATGTAAACTACATAATATCTTCATTTTGCTTCTCGGCCTGCAAACTCTAAAATATTTCCTACCTAACCCTTTGAAAAAAAAGTATGCTGACCTCAGACTAACAGAAGTCATTAGCTAGGTATTTACTGAAAATGCAGAATCTCAAACCCCACCCTAAAACTACTGAATCAGAATCTGGATTTTAACAAGATCCCTAGGTAATTCATATGCATATCAAAGTTGGAGAAGCACTGGCGCTCCCCCCCCCAATTCTAACAAGAAACAAATACCTATTGTGTACCTAAACGTGTGTAAGCTTGTGTGTATGTTTATTGACAAGTGCAACAGAGTCATTCGTATCTATAACTTTCAGAAAATTATTACCCAAAATAAATTCAGAAAAAATATGGAGATATATACAGGTTGGAAATTATAATTCTTATTTTAAAATTATCTTTTTAGATATAAAATAGTCATTATTTTACAACCTTAGGAGTATAAAATAATTTTTACAAATTCCTTGTTAAAGCATTTTCCAAAAGAGCAAATGCAGCGCAAATAACTATTTTGTCTTCTATACAAGGATATATCAGTGATTAATAGAGATTAACAGATGATCATTTTCATGCATGTGATCAACAAGACCAAAGGTCACCAGGGTTTAAGTTGACCATATGCTGCAAAATTCATGCAACAAACCTACTTGGCATGTGCTTTCATTATACACACCTTTTAATTAACACATTAGAAGTTAAGGATCAAATTACTCACTTGCATTCCTACTAATATTTGCTCAATAAGTACCTGGAGCTGAAGATTTTCTTCCTCTCCAAAACTATTTCCAAAACTAGAGAAAACCAATTGATATACAATAATTTTAAATGTGCAGTAAGGAGTAACAAATTGTATTTTATTATTAAATTCAGGCAGATGTTCAGTTTGTAATAATCTAACCAACAGCTGTAATTTTTGAATTTCCCAGATAACATTTGAAATTAAATTATATTATACATAACTACTATTTTAGATAGAGTTTCATACTTTCACTGATTCAATTCAATCAAC